GGAAAGTACTGCCGAGAACCGGCAGTTGTCAGAGCGGGGATCGGCACCGATCATCAGGGCACTGATGATCAGTGCCCTGATGATCGGTGCCCAGCAGTGACACCCGCAAGTTCCGCCCAGCAGTGCGCCCACTAGCCCCGCCCACCCGTTCCCAGCAGTGCCCCCACCTGTGCCCAGCAGTGCCCCCACCTGTGCCCAGCAGTGCACCCACCTGTGCCACTCTGCAGTGCCACCTACATGTGCCCAGCAGTGCCACCCACCTGTGCCCCACCACACCTGTGCCCACCAGTGCCACCCACCTGTGCCCACCCACCAGTGCTGCCCACCAGTGCCACCCACCAGTGCAGCCCAGCAGTGCTGCCAGTCAGTGCCACCAGTCAGTGCCCAGGGGTTGTGCCAGCCAGTGCCGCCAGTCAGTGCCCAGAAGTGATGCCAGTCAGTGCCGTCTATCAGTACCCATCATCAGTGTCACCTATCAGTGCCGCCTATCAGTGCTGCATATCAGTGCCGCCTATCCGTGCCACCTCATTAGTACTGCTATCAGCCTATCAGTGCCCATCAGCCTCATCAACGCAAATCAGTGAAGGAGAAAAAATACCTGTTTGAAAAATTTTATAAAGAAACAAATAAACTTTTTTTTTTTTTTTCAAATTTTTTGCACTTTTTTAAATTTATAGCGCAAAAAAGTAAAGCGCCCAGTGGCGATTAAATACCACCAAAAGAAAGCTCTATTTGTAAGAAAAAAATGATCAAAATTTCATATGGGTACAATGTTGCATGACCGCGCAATTGTCAATCAAAGTGCGGCAGCGCTGAAAGCTGAAAATTGGCCTGGTAAATAAGGGGGTATAAGTGCCTGGTAGGCAAGTGGTTAAGAGGCTCCTCTGTCCTGCACTCATTACCTGTATCAATGGCACCTGTTTGAGCTTGTTATCAGTATAAAAGACACCTGTCCACAACCTCAAACAGTCACACTCCAAACTCAGACCAAAGAGCTGTCGAAGGACACCAGAAACAAAATTGTAGACCTGCACCAGGCTGGGAAGACTGAATCTGCAATAGGCAAGCAGCTTGGTGTGAACAAATCAACTGTGGGAGCAATAATTAGAAAATGGAAGACATACAAGACCACTGATAATCTCCCTTGATCTGGGGTTCCACGCAAGATCTCACCCCGTGGGGTCAAAATGATCACAAGAACGGTGAACAAAAATCCCAGGACTACACGGGGGGACCTAGTGAATGACCTGCAGAGAGCTGGGACCAACGTAACAAAGGCTACCATTAGTAACACACTACACCGCCAGGGACTCAGATCCTGCAGTGCCAGACGTGTCCCCTTGCTTAAGCCAGTACATGTCCGGGCCCGTCTGAAGTTTGATAGAGAGCATTTGGATGATCCAGAAGAGGATTGGGAGAATGTCATATGGTCAGATGAAACCAAAATAGAACTCTTTGGTAGAAACACAACTCGTCGTGTTTGGAGGAGAGAGAATGCTGAGTTGCATCCAAAGAACACCATACCTACTGTGAAGCATGGGGGTGGCAACATGATGGTTTGGGGCTGTTTCTCCGCAAAGGGACCAGTATGACTGATCCATGTACAGGACAGGATGAATGGGGCCATGTATCGTGAGATTTTGAGTGCAAGCCTCCTTCCATCAGCAAGGGCATTGAAGATGAAACGTGGCTGGGTCTTCCAACATGACAATGATCCCAAACATACCACCCGAGCAACGAAGGAGTGGCTTTGTAAGAAGCATTTCAAGGTCCTGGAGTGGCCTAGCCAGTCTCCAGATCTCAACCCCATAGAAAACCTTTGGAGGGAGTTAAAAGTCCGTGTTGCCCAGCGACAGCCCCAAAACATCACTGCTCTAGAGGAGATCTGTATGGAGGAATGGACCAACATACCAGCAACAGTGTGTGCTAACCTTGTGAAGACTTACATGACACGTTTGACCTCTGTCATTGCCAACAAAGGATATATAACAAAGTATTGAGATGAACTTTTGATATTGACCAAATACTTATTTTCCACCATAATTTGCAAATAAATTCTTCCCAAATCAGCCAATGTAATTGTCTGGATTTTTTTTTCTCATTTTGTCTCTCATAGTTGAGGTCTACCTATGATGCCAATTACAGGCCTCTCTCATCTTTTTAAGTGGGAGAACTTGCACAATTGGTAGCTGACTAAATACTTTTTTGCCCCACTGTATCAGACACTGCAATAGTGTGTTAAGCCTGAATGCTATTATTTTTTAGAATAATTTGGAGTCACAGTTCAAAAGAGAGATGGGCCTGTAACTGGTACACTGTAGTGGGTCTACCCTGCTTTAGTAACACGGAGATACAGACTCTTAGCATATCCAGAGGAATAGCATGACCTTCCAAAATGACATTAAATGCCTTGGTAAAGTGAGGGGCTAAAAAGGGCCTGATATGCTTTGTAATAAGGAAGAGTGAAACAGTTAGGCCCTGCTGCTTTCCTTGGTCGGGTCTCCGAGATAGCAAGAGCAAATTCCTCAGTGGAGATATGGTGGGATAGTTCTTCTCGGTCCTCGTCCGTGAGTACAGGAAGGAGGTAGTCCCGGAGAACTGTGGGGGGAGGTGGCCGTAAATTCAGGGTACTGACTGAATCTAGGTTGTACAAGTGAGAGTAGTAATCACTAAAAATAGCTGCAAGGGCAGGGGACGCCTGAATTTTAGACCCGGATGGGTTAAGTAAAGCGGGGACGTATGTTTGAGAGCATTTAGTTCGCAAGGCGTTAGCCAGAATACGTCTGCATTTATCCCCATACTCATAGAAGGAGCATCTCGCTTGTAACAACACGTGTTTTGCTTTGGATAGAATATGTTCTCTAATGGTCGCTCATAGTCAAGCCAGTTCTGCCTCTTTGGCCCAGTCAGGTTGGGTTTTGAGCTGTTGTTCCAGCTTGTGGAGACCTGCTAAGAGATGAGAGGGTTTTGGTACACCATTGCTTGGCTGTGTGGCCATTCTTTATTACAATACCCCTGATCTAACATTTGTACACTGACCAGACAGAGCGCGTTAGGCACAGACTCAACATTAGCAGTGAAATAAGAGCTAAGCTCCCTGAGGACATCAGCGGCTATGTCCGTGTCTTTAAGAAGTGCCTCATTTAGTCACCATGTAGGCGTTCTAGGGGATGAGGATGGTAACTCCAACTCCAGAAAGATAGGAGCGTGGTCAGAGAGTGTGATGTGACCAATGTTTGCTTTAGAGGCCATGGGGATCAACATATGTTTCAATAAGAAAAAGTCTATTCTGGAGTAGGATCCATGAGGGGAAGGTATAGTCACGTTCTTGCGGATGGAAAATTCTCCAGATATTCACCAGCTGGTAAGTATGCAAAAGGTCCTTCAGTCAAAGCCTAAGCCCCCTAGGCAGGGAAGACAGATGTATGGATGAGTCTCTATAAGGATCCAAGGTAAAGTTGAAGTTACCACCCAGAATGAGAGTACCCTCAAGGAAGGAATCAAGTGTAGATAGTAAAGCCTCCAGAACCGGGAATTGGTTTGTATTAGGAAGGTACAAGTTTGCAAGAGTAAATGTACTTGAATACATTTTGTATTTAACGAGTAGGAACTTGCCTTCCTGATCTCTGTATTCATCAAGGAGTTGCCAGGGGATGGATTTAGAGAGTAAGAAACTGGTCCCTTTAGATTTAGAGGAGGGGGAGGGATTATGGTATGCGATGGGGTAATTTTTGTTGGAGAATTTTGGGATCATGTCTGCCCGGAAATGAGTCTCCTGGAGAAAAGCAAAATGCACTTTGTCTCCAAAGATCCGTGAGACAGCTGGTGCACTTCTCTCGGGAATTCAGCCCCTTGATGTTCCAGGAAAGGAACTTGGCAGCCATACCACCTAGTAGAAGGCGTCAGAGTCTACTCCCTGGGAAAGCGAGGAGTGGGGGGGGGGGGGGGAGAAAAAAGCGAGGAAGAGACAGAAGGAAAAAAGGGAGGGGGTGGCGATAGAAAGATATAGAAAATGAAGAAATGTGGAGGGGAAAGAGTGCTACTAAGTGCAGAACCTCCGCAAGGTAGAACTACTGCCACCAGGGCAATAAAGAAATCCTAGTGGGGGAAGTGGCAAGGCACAGTCTGGTGCAGAGCCCTGGTTCCTGAATACCAGGGGTACCATGTAGTAAATAAAGAGGAAAATACATAAACCTGCACAAAACATGTAATGGCATAGGAAGGTAATCCGTGAATCAGGTGAACAAGCGCTCTCTTACAAACAATGCCATAACTCTGGGCTCTTCACCGCACCGGCCCCGTGTCTGGCAGCTGGAACCATGCAAGGGCCAGGATAAGACCCTCTATAGGGGAACCACCGGGGGGCAGAGCAGCAAGGAGCCCAGAGAAGAAGAGGGGGAACAAAAGGGTGTCCCAGGTATTCTAATGTAATGTGATGGCACGTAAGGGAAGTGGGCTGGAGGAGGGGCAAAGAGTGCACCACAAGGGCTAGGCCAGGAGACTAAGGCCACAAGGTGTTCCATAGTAAGGGGCTATGCTATTGGCGCCTCCCATTGCATGGAGGGGAGCACAGGCATGTTTCTTATTACCAGTTCAGTATAAATAGTTAGTTATGCCATTGGTTATCTACAAGCAGTACTCCTCTGTCCCACAGAATAAGATGTTGCAAATTCATAACTGGCACTCTCATACAAATACTGTTAACGTGGTTGCAAACCTCAGACATGAAGTATGAACAAAGCCTATCCCTCTATATATAGTGCGTACTTGTCCTAATCCAGAGCACAAAGTTTTATTTCTGTTTGCAGCCTTGTTCCTCTGTTATTTGTCTGGGTTACTTCTGACTGGTTTTTCTAACACCAAGTGGTAAAAAGGTGACAGGGGAGGGAGCCCCCGTGCGCACAGCCTGTGATTGACAGCTTCAGCTCTATTCCTGTGTGCTATGTGAAGGTAAGTGTGATATTTTAGTTGTTTACTTACAGACATGTTCTTGTTTTCAGAATAATGAAAAGCAAATGCGGCAGCTCTCGGTCATTCCACCCATGATGTTTGATGCAGAACAGAGAAGGGTGAAGTTCATTAATATGAATGGTTTGATGGAAGATCCGATGAAGGTCTACAAAGAACGGCAGTTCGTGAATGTTTGGACAGACCATGAAAAAGAAATATTTAAAGAAAAGTAATTTTTTTTTCCATGTTTATTTAGATTAATGCAGACTCAATTTATGATCAGATTATAGGTTATGTTGGTAGAAATGCAAATGTGTTCATAGGAAAAGCAGCCGTGTCCCAGCTTTTATAGTAGGGATGTCAGGATCTCTCAAGTTGAAGCACCCCGAGTATTTCTGAAGAGAACCATTTAGAGGTAGTTTTAGCCTGTGTTTGAGATGCTTGAAATTTTGGGTTTCTAATAAATGAAAAATAGATGTTTCTTCCTGAGAAATCGGTAAAGAGTGTAAATCATGTCTGAAGAGTATGGTACCTTTTCAGCTAAGAGTTTGCTTCAGGCTTGCAGCAGCTTCTTTCCCTAATATTATTATTATTAATATTATTAATATACAGTATTTATATAGCGCCAAAAGGTTTGCTCAGCGCTGTACAATAGCAAGGGGGACAGAACATGAGACAAGACAGAAACAATACAATACACGAGGGGTTCGAGGGCCCCGCTCTTTCGAGCTTACAATCTAAGAGGGAGGGGAAAGTGGTACAGGAGGAAATGGCTGTAGGGGATGGAGTGGTGGGAGGAGTGGAGGAGGTCAGTTGTTAGGTGAGGGTGGGGTAGGCTTCCCTGAAGAGGTGGGTTTTCAGGGTGCGCCTGAAGGTGAGGAGGGTAGGTGACAGTCTGATGGATTGGGGTAGGGAGTTCCAGAGGATAGGGGAAGTCCTGGAGAAGTCCTGCAATCGGGCATGGGAGGAGGAGACCAGGGAGCTAGAGAGTAGGAGGTCCTGTGAGGAGCGGAGGGCACGGGTAGGGTAGTATTTGGGTATCAGGTCGGTTAGATAGTTTGGGGCGGCGTTGTGAATGGCTTTGTAATTCAGAGTTAGCAGTTTGAATTTGATGCGCTGGGCAATCGGGAGCCAGTGAAGGGATTGGCAGATGTGGAGCGGTTGGTGAGGTGGATGAGTCTCGCCGCTGAGTTCAGGATCGACTGGAGTGGGGATAGCGTTTGTTTGGGTAGGCCAGTGAGAAGGGAGTTGCAGTAGTTTAGGCGTGAGATGATGAGGGAGTGAACAAGTTGTTTAGTAGTGTCTTGGGTGAGGAATGTACGTATGTTGGAGATGTTGCGGAGGTGGAGCCTGCATGACCTTGATAGTAATTGGATGTGAGGTTGGAAGGAAAGGTTTGAGTCCAGGGTGACACCCAGGACTTTGGCATGTGGAGTGGGAGTGATGGTGGCGTTGTTTGTAGTGATGGAGAGGATGGGGGCACGGGCTGGGGGTGAAGACCAGGAGCTCGGTTTTGGACAGGTTTAATTTGAGGAAATGGAGCGACATCCAGTCTGTCGTTCAGGAGGTGGGTGATGCGGGCGGAGAGTGAGGGGGTGAGGTGGGGGGTGGAGAGGTATATTTGTGTGTCGTCGGCATAGAGGTGGTAATTGAAGCTGTGGGAGTGTATTAGTTTGCCAAGGGAGGAGGTGTAGATGGAGAAGAGGAGGGGTCTGAGGACAGAGCCTTGGGGGACTCCGACAGAGAGAGGGGGAGGTGGCAGTGTTATAGGTGACGCTGAAGGAGCGTTGGGATAGGTAGGAGGAGAACCAGGAGACAGCAGTGTCCCTGATCCCGAGGGAGTGCAGTTTAGTAAGGAGGAGAGGGTGGTCGACTGTGTTGAAGGCCGCGGAGAGGTAAAGGAGCAGGACAGAGTAATGGCCATTAGCTTTGGCGGTTAGCAGGTTGTTGGTGATTTTAAGTAGGGCGGTTTCGGTGGAGTGTAGGGGACGGAAGCCAGACTGTAGTGGATCAAGGAAGTTATCAGTGAGGTGGGCGCTTAGGTGATTGTAGGCCAGGCACTCAAGGAGCTTGGAAGTGAATGGTAGCAGGGAGATGGGTCTAAGGTTGTTTGGGTCAGTGGGGTCAAGGGAGGGTGTTTTGAGTATTGGGGTGATGTGCACGTGCTTTAGAGGGGAAAGTGCCAGTGGAGAGGGAGAGATTGAAGATGTGGGTGAGGGAGTGAATGATGAAGGGGGGGGGGGGGTGACTGGAGGAGCTGTGAGGGGATAGGGTCCAGGGGGCAGGTGGTGAGGCGGGCTTCAGTGAAGACCTTAGAGACCTCCTCAGTGGTAGTTGGGCTGAAGGAGTGGAGCGTTGGGAGGTGATAGTGTGCGGGGCGTTGGGTATAGTGGGGGTAGTGCGGCTATGAGGTCGGAGGAGGGGAGGGTTGAGGGGTTGATGGAGAGAGGGGGGCTAGGTGGAGAGGTAGATTGTGAGTTGACAATGTCCTTACGGGTTGCGTCAATCTTGTTTTGGAAATGATTGGCAATCTCGTGGGCGTTGAGTGAGGTGCTGAGTGGAGGAGCATATCTACTGACAGGAATAATCAACGAACTACCACGACGCTCCAGTCAGTATATATGCTTGCCTGTACATCCTGTATGGGCAAGCAGATATACTGACAGATCTGCAGGAGACCTGCATGGCACCAGCGATCTGCTGATTGCTGGTGCAATGCTTTTCAGGCTCCTGCAACAAAAATTAATAAATGCACATTTTTCTACCTGTAAAAAAAAATGTGCATTTATTATTTTTTGTATAAATGTGAACTTATCCTTTTAATACACATTTAAAGTGAAATTACACTGCGTCTAAGCACTACAAACCAAAATTGCTATTTAATTCATTTATAACAGTAAAAGCAAACTCCCCCCATCCATGCATGTCTCCATGCTTTATTTTGCTGAGGAATAACTTTGGAAAACATCCCCTAGCATTTCTGGCCGTAGCCAACTTACTTGGGTAAGGGCAGAGGATTCATGCAGCATTTACTTCCTGAAATCCATCTGCCCTTAGTGCAGGCAGGAGGGTGTGCTTAGCTGAGAAAACCTCTCCTAAAGACTCCTAGGACTTGACATAATTTGCCTAGGCATGGAAACCAGGAAGTAACTGGAGAAATGTAAAAAAAAAAAAAAAAAGCTTTTAAAACAAGTGATAGTATACCTTCCTATCTACACTCACCGACCACTTTATTAGGTACATTTTGCTAGTACTGGGTTGAACCCCCTTTTGCCTTCAAAACTGCTTTAATTCTTCATGGCATATATTCAACAATTTGTTGGAGATACTCCTCAGAGATTTTGGTCATATTGATATGAGTTACTGTTGCCTTCTATCATCTCGAACCAGTCTGCCTATTCTCCTCTGACATCAACAAGGCATTTTTGTCCACACTCATAATATAACACAGGGCAAATAATAATAAATAAAATTATTATATAAGTCCAAGAAAAGTCCCAAATCAAAGTCCAGTGTCCCAAAAAAAATGTGATAAAAATGTGAAAGAAAAAAACTATTACATAACTTTTTCAGCGTGCTCACATCAGTGGTGAATCATTTCCCCCCACACTCACTAGTTAAAGTGGATTCTCAAGCTGATAGGGCTTTGAGAATCAAAAACAGGTTTTTAGAGGTGGGGTGTAGTCTCCTCTGATGTTTTTTCCTTTGTCGATTCCTTATTGAATCTCCTTCCAAAAACGATTCCGATGTAAAAAATATAAAAGAAAATACCAATAGTGTGATACTGTATGAGGCTCAGAAAAAAATATATTAAATGACCATCATTACACTCACATTGGGTAGATTCATAACCAGCTTGCATGGACATGAAAACCTCCCAAACAGCCGATAATGATCCCTCCTTAACTTCCTCCAAGCTCTCACTGATGGATGGATGAGAGTGATTTAATGAATTTATAACCAACTTAGGTAGACATGAGGGCTTCCCAAACCACCGCTAGTGATTCCTCCTTGATGTCCTGCAAACTCTCGCCCATGGATGGATGAACATGCAAAAGAAAGGATAACCAAATAGCGTAATACTGCTTAAAAAACTTTTTAATATTATAGTGATGCCTCCAATGCAGTCACATCTTAAAATTGAATAACAAGCCTTTTAAATAGATGAGAACTCCTTTAGGCAGGCTAAAACAGCCCCTCTGACATTTCCAGCAAAACAGACACAATTAACCAGCATTGGCAGAGATGAACTGGCAGTAGTGGGGAAATCAGATTGTCATTCTCGCACTAAAGATGGCAGCGGAACGTCGAGTCGGCATGTGTTCCACTCACCAGATATGACGTCACACGTTCAAGGGCGGAATCAGACGTTATGTCAGCGCGTTTCGCCCCTCCTACAAGACGTCATGGATTTTCGTCCACACAACTGCCGCTAACCGGTTATTTTGTTCTCTTTTTGGACCATTCTCTGTAAACCCTAGAGATGGTTGTGTGTGAAAATCCCAGTAGCAGATTTTGAAATACTCATACCAGCCTGTCTAGCACCAACAACCATGCCACGTTCAAAGTCACTTAAATCCCCTTTCTTCCCCATTCTGATGATCCATTTGAACTTCAAGTAGTCTTCACCATGTCTACATGCATTGAGTTGCTGCCATGTGATTGGCTGATTAACAATTTGTGTTACCAAGCAATTGAATGGGTGTACCTATTAAAGTGGCCGGTGAGTGTATATTGAATGTTGATTGAGAGAATGAGGTTCCACTTTGTCTAGCAGCGTTTATTTTTTTTTTTTATACAATACTATTATTTGCACTACTCCAGCTAATATAAATGAAACAAGTGCTACAATAACAAACAAAAATGCTAAAAGTATAAAAATAGGTACAGCACACTCTAAACCCATCTGGCTTGCAAACACTATCAACTAGCAGCGGCCCTCCCAAGTCTTCTTCCTCATTGGCTGAGACACAGCAGCGGGAGACATTGGCTCCCGCTGCTGTCAATCACAGCCAGTGTGGGGGGTTGGGCCAAGCCGTGCTCTTTGTGTCTTATGGACACACACGGGTGGCTTGGGAGGTTGTAGCCTCAACCACGATCCTTGTATAGCCACTTGAATGCAGGGCCATTATAGATTTACGTATGGTGGTATTGAAGTGGTTACATTTGACTCTACACTGATTTTGTAAAATAAGCAACTGCCTATTGCCACTCTGTGTTTTATGTTGCATTGTGCTGTGCTGCCAAAAATGCTGCGAGACCTACATTTTTGTACATTAAGGGGCATCTTTGAATGGGATTTCTAATGTAATGCTCCTTAATGCATAATGCACAATGCAATGTGGTGCAATGCAACCTGGTGTCAGATGGCCCTTAGCAAGCACGTTGTTGCTTACGACAGAATTACTTCTGTGACACTAAAATGTCATTTAGAGTAAACATTGCAACAATAACTCAAAGTAAGTTATACCATACTTCCTTTTTAATTGCTATAATAACACAAATGTATTACCTGCATGTTACTGATCTACTGTATGGTTTCCTGTATTGCCTAATTTGTGTTTTCTATTTTTGTCAGATTTGTACAGCATCCTAAAAACTTTGGTCTGATTGCTGCTTGTCTGGAGAGAAAGGTATGGGTGCCGTTTTTATTGTAGCATTTCGTGTTTTTGTTAGGCTTAGGCTCCAGATTCCTGCAACAAAAATCTGTGGATTCCTGCAGCAGAAATTGCAGGTGCAAACTGGGGCCTGAAAATGGTTTTGGTTGCGGGGTAATGTGAGCAGACGGAAAGTAAAGTTTCTCTTTCCTTTCTGGTGGTGCTTGCTATTTTACCTTTTAGGTATCTGGTATCTATCATTGTATCCCTCGATGTCATTGGGCTGAACATCATAATTAAGTGTAGCTGGTACTTTTGGCCGTTAAAAGTGCACTGTTGTAATTTATTACTACATTTTATTTTCTTTTTTAGAGTGTTCCTGATTGTGTGTTGTATTATTATTTAACTAAGAAAAATGAAAACTATAAAGCTCTTGTAAGAAGAAATTACAGCAAGCGAAGAGGACGAAACCAGGTATGTTTGCTAAATTTACAGACGGTATGAATTTATATGTACATACCAACTGAGCACAAACATTGCAGTGCTTTCTTGTCCATTGTCCTATACTGACATTATACTGCTGCCTACAGGAGGGTTGGATGTAGGACAGCCCAGCATTTTCAGCATGCCTCCAGTTTTTTGCTAATGGACTAGGAGGATGAATGTCTTAACCTGTTGCCGCCCAGCCTATAGCCAGATGGCGGCCAGGCGAACAGCTCGTCCCTCCAGGTGGACGCCATATGGCGTCCTTTCCGGAGGGAGCATTGTGCATGCCCTCAGGGGCGCGATTGGTCACCGGCTGTGTAGTTCGGACACGGCCAATGACAGATCTGTGTACCAGGCCACGTTGCCAGTACCATGTGACCTGCTGTGACCAATCACAGCAGGACACATGACAGTTGTATATAATGGATGGCTTCCTTTCATGCCATCCATTGTATACAAGTGTGTCTAGCTGTGAATGGTCACAGCGATCACATGCACAAGCTATGCCAATCACAGCCTGGCTGTGTTATGTGATTAGCCGTCGCCAAATCACAGCTAATCACAAAAAACCCCCTGAATGAACCAATTTCATTTAGGTAAATGCTTGCTTATAGCAAAGTATTTCTTTGCTAATTGTGTAAAAAAAACAAAAAATACTGATCACTTCCCCAAAGTAGTATAATGTTACTATGGTAACATTATACTACCTTGGTCATAGTGTAATATGAAAAAAATCTTTAAAAAAAAAAAAGTAATAAAAAAATTAAAAATAAAAAAAATTATATCAATTTTTTTTTTTCGTTCTGTCACTAGTCAGTGTCCCTGATCACCGCCATGCCAGTTAAATGATGATGCTGTACTGCACTGGTGACAGTATGTAAAAAAAATTGTGAAAATAATTTTTTTAATTTCTTCATTTTCCAAAAAATTATGACAAAAAAATCACAACTTCTAAAAACTCGCCATGCCTCTTATGAAGTACGTCGGACTGTCTACTTTGCAAAAAGGGGTCATTTGGGGGATATCTGTACTGTTCTGACATTCTTGGACCTCAACAAATTAGATTGGCTGTCAGTACTTCAGGATTGATCAATTTTCAGATATATCCCATAGTTTGTGAACTCTATAACTTTCCTACAGACTAAATAATAAATACTAATTTGGGTTATTTTCACCAAAGAAATGTAGCAGAATACATCTTGGTCTAATTTTATAAAGAACAATCATTTATTTGAAATTATTATAACAGACACAAAGAAAAGCGTGTTTTTTTTTTTTTTTTTTTTTCAAAACTTTTTTGTTCATTTAGCACAAAATAAAAACCTCAGTGGTGTTTAAATACCACCAAAAGAAAGCTCTAGTTGTGTGAAGAAAATGATAAAATTTTAGTTTGGGTACAATGTTGTATTACCGCAATTGTCATTCAAAGTGTGAAAGCGCTGAAACCTGAAAATTGGCCTGGGTAGGAAGGGGGTAAAAGTGCCCTGTATGGAAGTGGTTAAGCACTACTGCAAAAGGCCAAATCTTTTTTTATTTTATTTTTTTACCCTAGGTTCCTTGTCTGTTACCTGTTCCTACTAGGATCTTTGTTGCTTTGCTTGTTGTCCATCATGGCAGATTGTAGGTTTTTTTTCTGCTGTAACAAGAATTTGTTTTTTTTTCCACCCCTTTTGGTCGGTTCAGCTCAACCAGCTCTCATTTTAGTCTATGGTTTAGTGCTCCTTTCTGTACTACAGTTGTCCTTGGCAACTAGTATAAGTGACTCAGTATACTAATTGTTTATTTTTTTTTTGTGGAAACAAAAAGTACTAACATTAGTTATATATAGCTTTTACATATTTTTTTCTTTCATTAAATTGCACTGTTTTAGGGTGATTGCGTCTTACAAAAAAGCTGCTGACACTGTATAATTTTCATATATGTAGTTTTTGGGTTCTTTTAATTAAAGTTTTGATGCTTTCTGCAATCACTTATTGACACTCTGGGCAGGGGTGTCAAACTGGCGGCCCTCCATCTTTTGCGAAACTACAAGCCCCATCATGCCTCTCCCTTTGGGAGTCATGTTTGTACTTGTCAGCCTTGCAGTGCCTCATGGGACTTGTAGTTTGGCACAGCTGGAGGTCCGCCAGTTTGACACCCCTGCTGTAGAGCCTATAGTCATGCTAGAGTCATACACACATTAGAATCGGTTCAGGAAGAAGCTACTTAACCTAACTGGTTATGACAGCTACCAAAGGATCCTAAAGCACTCAGAGGAGGCATATGCAAACTCAGTGAAAACAAACTTTTTGCACACAGTGCTCTTCAGTGTCCATACACCAGTGCTATAAGATGAGAGCTAACCTGTTGTCCACAACATAGCCTATATCTAGCTAATCTGTGACTCCACTTTTGGCACTGAACGTCTCCTATGATGATGTCTGACATCAAACTTGTTATAATAAAAGACGTCCCATGAAACACACAAGGTTTTTACATTTTGTGCTTATTTCTAACAGACTGTGGGAGAGACAGAAAATGCGCATTATTATATTTGGAAGGAAAAGCACTGCATACAAACATCAAAACTTTTGGGGCTGCTTTACTGCGTCTGGTTGTAGTCTGCGGTTACAGAGACAACAATGACTTCATTATGTTGGCAGAAACTTTTTTAAAGGGGGCTGTTAGGGTAGCAGTCTGTGCGTTTAAAGCAATATAAACCCAATCACTGAAAAAAAATGTTTCAGTATGTTAAAATTCTCAATATTTTGTACAGGCACTTCCCATCATAAGGTAACAACTGACAGTGTCCTAAGTGTTCTTTAGCTTTTTCAATCTGGTGCACACTTTCCCAATGGAGGCTACAAGTGGCTGTGCAGGTGCACGTATTAAGGAATGGTCCATTCTTATCACTATTGGGAAGCTTGCCCTAAATATGCCATGCAGGAGTGCATGAGAGTAGTCGGGAAGTGGCTGAAAAGAGGCTTTAAGAGATCAGCAGCACTGAAATGCAACAAAGAATGAGATGAAGGTTAAAATGCATGGCGTTGAGTTAGGACTTTTATGTACTTTAATAGTAGTTTGGTTATGTGATGACAAGCGAATGTTGGCTTGAAATAGTTATCTACTCCTCTAATGGGACACACTCAGGCTGTCCCCATACCTGTACATCATGGCAATAGAACATCTGATAAGCGTATTGAAAGGGAACAGCTCAATTCACTATACAACTATTGGGGATTCTATTCACAAACTCAGTCTGTTCCCAGGTGACTTACTCCTATGTGTCTGTAACCCAAGACCTGCCTTCTCTTATCTGTTCAGGGAACTAGAGCAGTTTGGTCATCTTAGTAACTTTGATTAATGCCACAATATCGGAATGCAGCTGCTGGCTTCCCCACTCTATCAAATACCTTGATATTTATGGACACGGTGGGCACATTTAAGATTTTCATCCTTTATGGTCTCCCCTTACAATGCCGGCTGAGATTTTGGTCCTGTCAAAAGCACTCCTTTTCCAGACTGTATTTGTTAAAGTCCCTTACCTACACTAGTCTCTATTGTGTTACATCTGGGTTTGATCCTCAGCCCATCTTAGGCATGATGGCGCTTGTCACTTACATGCTACATGCCATTTATAGAAAACTTCAGTCATGGATGACACCAAGGGTCAGACTTTTGCAAATCCAGATTTCAGTGCAGCGATCCCAAATACTATGCACAAGGTGATGCATATAACTTGTAAGAAAAAAAAAAAAAACAGAGGGAAGCTCAACAGTCTTGTGCAATAAATCAATTTATTAGCTGAGGCGAAAGGTACCAGAAGACAAGAGAAAGAAGGTGATTCTCTTCACAGTTGAAGAAAAAAAACTGAATAAATACTTGTGTGTATCTGGTAAGGGGAATGCTTTATACACAGCCTGCAAGCCAGGGGAAGTCTAACATGCATGCAGAATGACCAGAGAACCTGAAAGTACACCTATTCTCCAAAATCCCCCTCAGAAGGAGTTGAAAAAATGTCGTCTGAGATTCCTGCCTATTGCAGTTAAAGCAGTTAAAGAGCTCAGTGAGGAGAGCTGATCTGAGGGCAAACACACCCCCTTCCACACAGCACACAGGAACAGAGTTCTGAAGATCCATCCCAGTCCCTTTTTTTTCCTCTTTGTATCAGGGAAACGTGTCAGAAGTGATTCATGTAGATTTGCAGAGGAATGAGGCAGCAGACAGAAATAACATAGTAGTACTCTGGATTGAGACAAGTGCACAGTGTAGAGGGATGTGCTTTGTTCATATTTTACAACCATTTTAGGTCCCTTGCAAATGGGCCCGTCTGGGTGCAATGTGTTCTTCCTTGTGTTTTAGTGTGCTCGGGGGGACAGGTGCTGCATCCAGCCCTGTTTCAGCTTGTCAATGTTTATGGCATGTTGAGGGTGGGGCTGAAAGCTGTACCAAGTGGTACCTGTGTTTATAGCCCAGTGTGTTCAGGATTGAAGGTCTGGAACACAGGTCTTCTGCATAGGAACCTCTTTGTAGCATTCAGCCTTAGCCTGCCATAGACTTTGACAAGCTGCAGTTACCAAGATTAGATGCCGCACCAGTCCCCCCTGTGCACACTGTATCTAGACAGCTTCATGTGCAAGGGACTTTAAATCAGAAGTCTTCTTTACACTTCCTTGTTCCTGATCTCCTACCTTCAATGAATGTGGCATCCATCTTCTGGTTCATTCAATAGTTGCTCTGAAATAGCCTAATCATTTTCAGATCAAACTGTTAATTCTCTTTGTTTAAGACCAGTGACTTGTATGCCTCCTATTCCCCAGCCACTGGTCTTGACACATCCCTTCTGTAGTTCTTTCTCCAGGAAGCAGTGATGTAATTCAGCCCCACTTGCAGTGTTGGGCAGACTGAGACTCTCAGCCACATTACACATGTATAGGTCTTTTGTCCCCGCCCACATTCACCACAATTCCATGAGGTTGATGGGAACTGTAGTTTCCTTTTACTGCAGG